CTGTCAGATTCTTTAATAAGGATCTGATGGAAGCCAGACTCTAAATCTAAAGTTGTAAATACTTTTGCATTACCTAAATTCTGTATGCTCATAGCCACATCAGGTATGGAGTATCTATCTGTAATAGTTTGAGCGTTTAGATTTTGAAAGTCTAGAACCATTCTGCACTGAGGTTTCCCTTGTTCATCGGTACCTTTTTTAGCGACTGTCCAAATGGGAGAGTTGTACAGACTTTTGCTGGGTTGAATTGTTTCATTTTCTAAAAGTTGGTTAATTTCTTTGTTAATGAAATCGCTATCTGACATAGGGTACGTATATTGCTTGGTCCAATAGGATCTTCGGAGTTCGTCCTAATGGTAGCCTGTATCGTGGTAGTATAAGGTAGCACTTCATTTGTGCTTTCATTTTTTTGCATAATTTCTTCGATTTCTGCCCTATATTTTTCACTATTAACCGTATAATTAGTTTTTTGCAAAGATTCACTTTCTTTCTTGGCTCGTACTCAAAAAGGTTGATCTCTGCTTTAAGTTTTCTAAGTCCCTGTTCACCCAGAAGCATATCAAATTCTTCTAATGCATCTGTTTCAAAAAATGTGAGATTATGCTGTAATAATGTAATAATTTTTTTTTGATTTGGTTATAGAGTAACCATGAAGGGTTTTCACTTTTACTGGCTTAGCTATATTGAACTTTGTGCTAATATAATTGTTCGTTGCTCCGGTATCGATTAGGATGTTGATAAGTTTGCCTGTATCCCTGCAGTGGTGTTGAAAACACAGCAAATCGTTCATGCGCCTAAAAAAGCACTGCCTGTTTCGTATTCCTCATTTTCATATTCTGGTACAAGCGATGTTAGTTCTTCGTCGCATGTTTGGTTGACACGTTGTACCTCCTGTGGTAAGTTTCGAGAAGAAGGATTTCTTTCCCTTTTCTGTGGATCCCCGCTAAATGGGTTATTTGGAGGTCATAGCTGTTTGGTTGTGGTGCGGGATGATTCCTGTTGTAATTTGTGGATCTCATGTACTGCTGTAATGAATCTACATCCATTGGTTGGTGTTGTTGGCTGGGTGCAGTTTGATTGTATCGCACCTGCACGTTAGGTTTGTACCTTTGTGGTTCCTTGTGATGTCTTCTGCTTGTGTATTGATACTGTGAAGTATTATATTGTCTGTGCTGATTGTATTGTGGAACGTCGAATTGTGAGTTCATATTGTCATGATATATCGTACTTGCGATATTGTGGCTATAGAGGGTGCCGCTGGTATATTTGCTGTTCAGACCGAGATTGAATGTCCGTACAGCTTCCTGGTTCGCATATTCTTTCATAGCTGAGGGATTTTCTGAGCTGTCCATCTCAGCCTTAGTGAGTGCAAAATTAAGTGACTTGCTGACTTCGCTATGGAACTCTGCCAAGGTCATTTTTCCCTGCTTTAATCTCTTCATTCTGTCGAGCAACACATACAGAGGTCTCTGGTCCGCATAGGTGTAATTAAGATGGTTTATTATTGAATAAAAATTGAACTTGGTGTCGTGGTTTGTTAAAATATCGACCGCCTCTCTTTGAGTTTTTGAATGTAGAATTGAGAGTGCCGTAGGGTTTCGGTGAGCGTTGTGGTTAGAGCAGCGATTTGTGCTCTTAGGCTTGCGTTCTTCTGTGTTGTCATATCGGAGTTTATGTCCAACGATACACGTGATGAATTGAAAGCCGCTTGTCTTTTCTTCGCGATTCCAGTATGATGTTATTCCGATTTTTCAGGATTTTTTTTTTTTTTTTGTTGAATTTTAAGCACTTTTTTCCTATCCTTTTCCGCAATGGATAGCGATGGCTAAAAGGTTCGGTTGAGCCCCGAGTTAATATCGTTCACACGATATGCGTAGAAGGAAATATACTTTTGAGCTGCACCGAAATGTGTGCTCTTTATTGATATTCTTAAGACTGACTAGTTTACATAAATCTTAGTGCTATTTATACTATTGAGCTGTATCGATAGTTATCTGTTTACTAACAGATAAAACTATTAGTTTCTGTTATTATATTTGGTTGTTATTGATAGTGCATTTCTATTGCTAAATGTTCTTATCTCTAGTATTTATATTTTACAATGTGTGTTAGCTGATAGATATGTTTACATATGCTTATTTTGATTTTGTGTATTTATGCCTAATAAGTGATATGCTATGTCACTTATATATAAGTATCTATGATATGTATGTATGTATGTACATATGTATATGTATTACATATGTGCATATTTTTGGACGTGTTTTGGGCGGTAAGTACACATTGTATATTTGTAGTGTAGTGTACCTTTAGGTACTTACGCAACGTGGTTATTCACGTTGCTGTTGTTGGTGGATTCTTTACACGGTCCCATTTGGAGTGTTATGTTGGGCATCTGGCGTTCAGTTGGCGAGTTTCAGCACTTTCTGAGCAGGGTTGCTCAAAAAGTACCTGCGTCTGTACAGTGCTGAAAGAGTGTATCGTGTGCAGACAAACGGTCGTAGCAGTGTGCGCTTAATTCACGGATCGATTCGGTCCAGCGCCACATCGGTCGACTCGCGGCCGTTACGGGGACATTGATCCGTCCGGCGGTCAATTTGGGTGACCTCTGTCCAGGCCTTTTGGCTGGAGATGTGGGCTGTACCCTAGCGAGAACGCATTAATCATCCACTTGGGTCGTCGCTGTTATAGAGCGGGTTTGCGCTAGAGACACCTTCTCCAGCGCGTTCAGTTGCGCGTACCGGGTGAGCAGCTGTTTTCGGCATTTGTTGAATTAGTGTCATCTGCGTCAGTGGTAAGCTCGGCGGATCAGCCTACCAAAGAGCACTCGAAGGCAAGAATGCCTCCACCACAGAGGAAGAAGGTTAAATCCCCCGCTGGGAATAAGGAGTCCGGGCTATCGACGGTGACGGTGGACACGACGTCGGGCAATGAAGCTGCGGGACCACCGGTTATTTCACCGCCACGGCGGAAGACGCGTTTGGGGTCTCCGGGTAAATCGTGCGGGAAAGAGGGCGAGAGCGGTAGTGGTAGTGTTTGCGGTAATTTTGACACCGCTGAAAAAGCGGCTGTTCACTCCGCAAAGTCTGGCGAGGGTGAGAAGGGTGTTGCGAGCGTGAATGTGGGCGCGAAAAAATTGGGCGCTAGCAAGGCGAGTTCGGGCAAGGGTGGTGCGAGCAACCGATAAGCCCCTCGTAAGGAGGGTGTTGTTGTCGGGAGCTGTGCGGTTAGCCATGTTGCTGCCGTAAAACGAATCACGGGGAGCTTAGCGGCTTAGTTTTCGGGGCCGCGAATTTTGAAGAGGGAACTGCAAAGGGGTTGATGGAGCTTGCCTCGAAGTACGAGGCACTCCTGATGACGGTTATTACCGAGAATGCCCATCTTCGCGATCAGGTTGACGCCCTTAGAGGAAGTTGCGAAGACACTCCTCGCTGCCGAACAGGTCAATGCCGGCACTGTCGGCACCGATGCCTGCGTCCCCAGCACCCTTCACTCGTTGTGAGGATCCACGAAGTTAGACCGATTAAGGGTCGTGGGGCGGTTATCCGCACTCCCTCTGTTTTAGAGAGGGAGAAAGTGGCGACGGACACAAAATTCGCGAAGATGGATCACCTCTTGGTTTCTCTCCTGAAGTCCCCTGATAAGATCAGGATGTATGTCCTTGGCATATTTGTTGACTTCAAGTGAGCATTTGATTACCTAAGCTGGGATCGAGTGTTGCAACGACTGGAAGAGCTTGGCTGTCCGGAAATTACTCTTTGGCGGAGTTACTTTTCGGACAGAAAAGCCTTTCTAGCCGGAATGAACGGGAGTGTGGAGATCGGAGTGGTCCGTGGCTGCACGCAGCGATCCATCTGCGGTCGATATATTTGGAACCTCATGATGAACTCTGCGTATGCGGACGACCTTCTCCTTCTGGTTGAAGGTCGATCGCGATTAGAGTTAGAGCGGGCGGGAGGACAATTTTTAGAAATTGTAAATAATTGGGGTTTAGGTGTGGGGGTTGACATATCGATGGACGAAACGGTGATAATGCTGCTTAAGGGCAGATTGTCGCCGGTTCGTCCACCTATTGTCCGGGTGAATGGGGTCAGCATCAGGTATGGGACGCAAGTCAAATGTGACGTGAAAGTTGATAGGCAGAAATGTGCAAAATTAATATAAGTGCGATAACTGTATAAAATTTAGCGATTACCACGATACAGAAAATATTAATAATCATATATTTTATATCTCAGGCACTACTTAGCCGATTCAGTTCGATTTAATTTGTAACATTTTTATTAAACCTATATTTTACAGTTTTCAAATTGACGAAACCGAACTACAACTGACTGTTATATTGAAAATATCAATAATTTTGACATACGAGGTGTGTTCAAAGGAAAAGGTGAGCATTAAATTTTTTTGAAAAGTAATTATTTATTCATCAATATCTATTTTGTCCCCTTCAAAGTAATCCACCTCGGATATAATACACTTGTGTCAACGCTTTTTCAATTCTCGAAGCACTTCCGAAATCGTATGATGGTATATGATGATCGATATGACTCGTATATCTTAATGAAATTATATAATAATATAATAACATTAAGTTAAACATTCCGCTAGCTTTATATGCGCAATAAAGTAGTCAGATCGGATATAACGGAAAATATAATAATGAAATAAGTAAGTACATGACTTAATACAAGGTAATATGACCACATAAGATTTCATGCGAATCTTCCACTATGAAATGATTTGTAAAATATACTTTAGCTCGACACTCTGCTAAGTTCTCTTCTAATTTCGTATTGAGTTATACTCTTTAATAATATAATATATACTACTTGTATATGTATACTACTTTAATAATGTAGTAGTAAATATAGTTATCATGATTATGATAGTTAAAGAAATGGGTTGGATAGGATGTTTTTCACAGGAAAGGACAAACTTCTTTAATTTCTGTATGTTTGTACATTTATGTTTAGGAGTGCAAGTATTTCGATCTGTTCGAATCCTTTTGCATGGATTGATTGCTTAAGGGTGGAATAGGGTTAATTCGTTTGAAAAACTTCGCATTTTTCTGATTAGTTTTGATGAAACAGTTAAAATATATTATTTAAAATAAATGGTACACTATCGTAAAAGGTAACACAAAATGAAATTGTACGTTTTGGGAACACTTTTAAGGAAAAAACTCGATGTTTTGCGAAAAAATTAGTTAATTTGTTATTGTAAAATGAAAAATATTAATAAATTAGAAAAATTTCTCCAGTAAATTGTATAAAGAAATAGTGTTAAAAATTTCATATAAATCGGTGCAGTAGTTGTGAAGTTATGAGAGCGACCGACTTTGAAAACAAGAGTTTTTGGAAAAACGCTTAAAAGTATAGCACACAAAACAATTTAAGATGAAACGTTCATAAGCGAGTTCTGCATTAACTTGTTTGATTTTAACATTATTTTCAAACAGGATTTAGTATGTGTCTATCCGTATTTCATTATTACTTTCGAGCGTTCCATCTATAATTATATTTCCATTTTTCAATTCATTTATTAGAATACTATTTCCTTCGAATGTTTTCGACTTTCCATGTATATTTTGTAGAATGGGTATAGTACAGTTATCATCTAATATTTCATTACGTATAAGATACATACCTAACTATATTTTTACATTTATTACATTTTCACAATGTCAATTGGGTGTTTAACATGCTGCGTCGGAACTTGTTAAATATTAACTTCCCTCTTATTTTTGAGTTTGAAAATTATTACAATAGAGGGTTTTCCAAAAAGGATCATATGATTAAAAAAAAAGAATTGATAAGGAAACTGTTTTTTATTTAATGTGAAGTACAATCGATACATTAAAGTTCTGAATATAAAATCATTCGAGTTCGATTAACCCAAATTTCGAGTACTTTTTCCACTAAATCAAGTCGTATGTCACGAATATCGATTTCAAAAGCTAGAAGAGAGTCTGGTTTATTGCCAAAGATGTAAATGTAATGTTGTTCTTGTGTATATCTTTCCATGATAAAATTATATACCTTACTGAATACAATGACAAAAAAATTTCAGATCTTGACATATTAAAAATGGCCGAAACGACACTTAAAAATCATATTCAGGGGTGTTTTGGAATCCAAGACAGATTTGTGTAGTTGTCAGAATTGCAAACCAATTCTGATTTTCAATGGTGTCACAGAATCTGATTGGATTTTCGTCTTTTCGAACATATGCAAAACCAATATTCGAATCGGCTGTTTACTAATGTGACAAAACTTGCAAATAAATAAATTTGGAAGCGTTTGATAAATTTGAAATGCTGAATGAAGTCTACTAAAGTTTACAATGAGTTTCGTTATTTCAGCTTTTATTTTATTGGAAGAAAGAAAAGCAAAAAAAAAAATAAAAGGAATATATTAAGAGATCACATTAATCCACTGATACACCAGGCGAATCGCATGTGAAATTTGGCTTGCATGTATTGGTATGCTTATATATGTATGTACATGCATACTTTACATGTGTATATCACATTATCGACTAAACAAAGACGCATTTTGGGGTTAAATTACGTTTATTACGCTTTGTAAATCCTCCTTAAATATCTGGATTTTTTCAATAAACTCAATAATTATTATATTTTGTGTTTTATTCTTATGTTTCCTCTATAAAAATAAAGATAAATTAAATCGTAATATTAATATAAATTAATTTCTTAACTTACATTTCAAATATTTTAGCGACTATCCTCTTGCTTTGTTTCTAATAACAAAACCGATAAGATTGGTTTCCGTGACACCCGAAACCGATACAATTTCTGTTTCGAACGTCAAACCAATAGTATCTGAATTCATGACACCTACTACATTTTTATATCGGTTTCAATTCTCATTCCGACAACTCTCGGATTCTACAACACCTCTGATTATCCCTATTGGAAAACCCGATAGTTATGACTAATGATACTAAAGCTATTAAATTGTAATTTATAGTCTTAGAATTATTATCTTCATATCTTAATTCTGCATTTTATTACAATATATTGACTTTAATTAGCTTGACCGGATTGGATATAAGTTGAATTGTTATAGGTTTGTTATGTTTGTAAAAGGTTCCCATTATTTTAATATTGCAATTTTTAAATCTAATTAAATAATTTCCATCTATGGCAAAGTTGTTTGAATTACATTAATACATGATAGACAGTTTCGTTTTTTGGATTGATTATACATGTATATATGCTTCGTATTTAGTTCAATAACATTGCACAGTGATTTCACTTGTATGGAAGCCGCGGCCATAAATACATTTAGATGAAATATCGATTTGATATTCTCACCAAAAGTCCATAAAAATATGACAAATATATTGTATTAAAAAAAGTTAGGCACATCGGACGACTATATCCTATTGCTCCCAAAGTAACAGTCAGTAACGGATCGATAAATTTGTATATTTTTATTTTAAGGGAAACTGAGCATGGTTTTACTAATAATAATATACACACTTTCAAGAATATTCGTATTGATTGGTGGTATTCAAAAATAAGTGACGTAATAACAGAAAAATAAACCATGAAAAACATTTATGTATTATAATTAGAAAACGAACAACAATTTTGTGAATTATATTCATATTGTCTTATCAAGCAAATCCATGGTTGACTTTAGTAGCGTTGTTTTGTGGTTATAAGCAAGTTTTCGCTGCCGTCTTTTTCCGTGTATGTTGGTAAGCAAAAACTGTTAATATCTTTAATCCTTGTCTCTGCAGCTTCTTCAGAATCTCTAACCAAGGATTGTTTTATAATTTCAGATCGATAAAGTAAAATTTTATGAACCTATGGGGGGACCTAACTGGGATATTTTCCAATCATCAGATTTAGAGACAATTTGTTTATTTTATCGTTATTTTTTTAACATGTTTTTTTATTTTTGTCCTATCGGCCACTGTGCAGTTAATTGTTTTTTACATAGTTACAGTGCATTTTTCTTTTAAATATATTTTCAATACAATTATCTTAACATTTTCGTAAATCTTTCTTAAATTTCGATATTTATCATTAACATTTGTTTTACATTTGGTATTGGTTATATAAGTTAAAGTTAATTTTAATGCACGTTAATTAATGCACGACTTCTTCTGTTAGCCGTCTAATTTATTCTGCCTATTGCTATTTTGTTATTATGCTCATCATGCTCATCAAGTTCAGCTTCATTGTTAATGAGTGAACCGATTTCCAAAAGTACGCATTACGGTTGACGCCAGTGACGCCAGATGCTACACCACAGTGTTGTTGCTGCATAACTGCCTGATAATACTCCAACCAAAACAGGTTTTATGCTATGATTGCATTCGCTATTGTTGTTGTGGCGGCGCTGAATGATAACTATATCTTATTAAGCGCAATGTAAGCCAATCATAGTAGACAGAGAATTTCGCATATCACCATAACTTATATACATGAATTGCTTGACAAATTTCTTTTACTAATACTAACTTTAGTAATATTACAGTATTTTCATCTTTAGCAACAATTATAAAGTTTATTTCTCTGAGTTTTTCGAAAGTCACATTAAAATTAGCTATATCTTTATCTGTAATAGTATCTGTACTTCCTTTTCCTTGTTACGTTTAATAATTAAATTTTTCATTTTTCTTTTGATACAGCTTTGAGTTCTGAGTTGATACTATTTACATTTTCAACAAATTCTTTAAAGTGAGTATTTAAACTAATAGCTATATCTCCTATCCTAAAAAGTTTAATAATTATCTCTTTTGCCTTTGGTGTTGTGAGCTTAAAGTACCGATTTGAATTCTGATGTATTTGAGTTTAGCAATTTTTTTTCTTTCAAAATTGATTCCTCCAAATTATCTTATGACCTTTGTACAATGGTTTATTTACTAAGTATGTTATTCTATCATACCTTTTGATTTGTTTGACTTCATTTAATTTTAGTAGGGAATAGCCGTTTACATAGTTCAAATATATTATTTCTATCTGGACTGCAATTAGAGATATTGTCAATAAGGGTATGATAATCTGCATTATTGTGTTTTACCTATAGGGTTTAAGATTTAATAATTTCCTTGTGAATAATACTATTTTTCTCTTGATTAATGACTTTACTTACCTAAATTATTTAACTATTCATTTTTTATATCTAGGTGTTGTTTTCCATTGAAATGTATTTCCTTTTTCATAAATTATTTTCTTTTCTTTAAATGTTCTTGTTTTGCGGCTTTAATTTTTATAATTAAGTCTCCCGCTTTCGCTTAATTTAAATTTTTTGGGTAATTGCTTGTGCTTTATATTTTGCAATTTCAATTATTGTTGAGTGAGATCTTTCTTTTTGTCCGTTCATAGTTGAATGCCTTGGGTCACAATAATTAATTTTAATTTTCTTTCTATCTACGAAGCATTTGAATTGAGCTGAGCTGAATACTAGTTCCTTATTGCATGTAAAAATTTTTATTTCTGTTGTTAATGTTGTCTTCGATATGTTTAACTATTAAAAATTTGGAATAGGCGTCCATTAATGTACGGAATTTAAAATTAGATGCAAATAATACATCTATGTTTATGTAAGTAAATGCGTTGCGGTCCCGCGTTGTTGATAGATGCCTAACGACGCGTGTTAGCTTGGATATGATCCAACGCAGACGGTCGCTGTCCAGGTATCTCGCAGTCAATGTGCCAGATGATTGTAGCAAACTTCTTAGGTTGATTGCGTTGGGTACTTTACTTCACTCTTTTATCGCTTGGCTTGTTGCTCAGTCATTATATCAATAATGAGAAAGTATGTTATAATGACAAAGCCGGAGCAAGTACATTTATTGAAAGTGAAATACTAACTGATTGAGGTATAAAATTGGATTTAAGGCTAAACCTAAAAGCTGGACCCATAAGCTACAAAGCTACAGCCGCCAAGCCGACTCAGCATAAGCGATAACGTAGACATTTGCAGTATAGTCAAATATCAGATTACCGCAGCTGACCATAGTAGTCAGGCCACTGAACTCATGTGTCAGTGGAATATGTTTGGAGCAAATGGGTAAATATAAGTGCAGTGGAAGTTTTTAATATTATTTGTGTGAAATTATTATGTGTTAACTACTCCCTTCCTGCGAAGCTTGTCTTCTCTTTGAGATTTGACGTAAGCGGTGACCCCGCTATGCCTAACTTCCTACTTAGTATTTCATGCTGGTTCACATATTTCGTATCATTGATGATTGCGGAGAAACGGAAGGTGACGTGGTGTGTCCCGTTCGTAAAAATCTCTGCGCCATCGTCTGTACTGATCCTTGCTGTTCCATAATTGATAATTATGATTCCATCATCTCCTTGCGAGATAGGCTTCAGGTGGCTTGGCTGAGTGCGGCAGGAGGCCGCGCCACTAGCTTGCAGTTCGCGTGCACAGGAGTCTTGTGGCGTTAACTTAGAAACGGATGCGAGTATTGTTGATATGCATTCGTTAACTGCTAGTACGTCATCGTTGCATTCGGGTACGGTGTCATCATGTAGCTGTAATGTTACATGTTGATGTGATGATAGATGGTGATGTGATGAAAGATGATGACTCTGGTACAAATTAATTAAATTCTAGTATAAGCTATGAGTATATAAATTATATTCTTGGACTGTAGAACCTTACGCTCTTGATAGTGCGTCTGCAACTACGTTAGAGCTCCTGATTTATATTTCATTTCATAATTGTATTCCTCCAGTATGCTTTCCATCTTTGAGTTTGCTATTGGTGTTTTTACTTAGTGCGTATGTTAAGTTGGTGATCTGTGTAAATTTAATAGCTGCGAACCGTAAAGGTAATTCTCAATGATTTCAGGCCCATACTATTGCGAGCATTTCTTTCATTTGTGCATAGTGTTTCTCTGCCTTATTCAGTGTTCTGGATATAAAAACTATTGTTTTTGTCTTGCTCCAAAACCGCACCTAAAGCAAAATGATGCATCTGTGAAGGTGAAAATCTTTTTATAATCTGGGTATTGCAACATTACTTGGGAAGATGTCAGTGTGTTTTAATTTTATTGAATGCTTCAATGGCTTTGTGGACTTAGAATTATTGGAGTTTTGGCGGACATAGTTTGGAATACGCCTCCTCCCTCTTAAAAGAGCGGTGAACGGTTTGGCTAGTTTGGCGTAATCTTTAATGAATCGCCTGTAGAAGCCGGACATGCCTAAGAATGACCTTAGGTCTTTCAAAGTTTTCGGATATGGAAGTTCTTAATCGCTTCGACTTTTAGATTTTTTAGCCTTCAGAGGATACTATAAAGCCTAAGTATTCAACCTCGCTTTTGAAAATTCACACTTGTTAATTTGAACTTTCATATTCGCTTTTTCGAGCGTTTCAAACACTTTTTATATTATTTAAGTGCGTTCTTCATCTTCGCCAAAGATTATTATGTCGTCTATGTAGACGTAGCAACATTTGCCAATTAAATCTCTTAAAATGTTGTCTAAGCTCTCTGGAAAATTGCAGGGGGTAACGAGTAATTCGTATTTACCGTGTTTTACCGAAATGTGGTTTAGGAATATCTTTGAAGAAGTGGATTTGGTGGAATCCGCTTTAAGGTTCTAAGACCGTGAAAATTTCTGGTTTGCATTTGCGCCAAAACTTTATTTATTTCTGGATTGGGTACCTATCGGGAATAGTTACAGAATTCAGTTTTCTGTAATCTAACCATTCGATACTTTCGTTCGAGGCATCGAGTTTTCAGCACTACTCATAGTGCGAATTATATGGGGACTTTGATCGTCTTATTATGCCTTGGTCTAATAATCATTTATTGCTTCTCTACTTCGTCCTTCATTGCCATTGGTATGGATAATATCGCGAATAAATTGGGTTGTCCGTTGGGGTTTTATTTCTGCTTTACTGTATCGTAAATGTGAGTTTCTCGTCAGGGCTGTGAAAGATTTGGGTGATTTTCGCAAGAGATTGGAGTTTTCTGCCTGTGATTGCGGTAAATGATTTATTCGAGTTCAAGTATATTGACAGATTGGGATTCCTGTTGTAAAATTTTAACTTTTATAGAATTGTTTACTAACATGTAATTTTCGTGTGTAATAACTGCGTTTAATAATTTCAAACTATCATTACCAAGATTACCGTTAAAAGATTTCAACTGTGGCAAAGGAAAATTTAAGATCTATTTTAGGCCCAAAAGGTTAAGTTTGTATGGTGTGTTATTGAAATTTTCCTCCAACTGAGTCTGCGTAAAGTGGTTTTCATTAGGTATTGGGTTTAACTAGGGAGGTTGAATATAATTTTTATTTGAACCTGTATCTATTAAAATTTAAGAATCTTCCTCAACTGTTTTACATGAAGTAAGGCAGCGAGGATTGATTTAATCTAAAAACTGGATATCAGAGAATTTGCTGTTTTATTTTCTTCCTCGTCGTATCCTTCCAGGTATTTATTTATGGGTTGTAGTTCTTCTTCTTCACTAGTCATCTGTGCGTAGTACTCGTCAAAGGATGTTGCTGTTCGTCCACGTCCGTGCTCTCATTTGGTTAATTCTTTGAAATTTTTCGGTGTGGAGTTGGTTTGAGACTGGGCTTGTCTACGTATCGCTTGTCCATTTTGTGGTCTGTTAACGTAGCTAACCTCTGCTGTCTGCAAGGATCTGTCTACGTCCATCGGTGTAGGGTTTGGTTGAAAGGGTCTTGGTGTGGCAAGTTATATTGCTTTGTATCGGATAATTATTTTGTTGTCTAGATTGTTGTTGTGTGGGTAGTTGTTTTGTTGTTTGTGAAAATTGTTTGCGGTGGATTAAAGGATTATATGGCGATTGGAGGAAACTGTTGATTTCTAGGATTATAGTTTGTAAGTGTGGACAAAATGTGGCTGTCCATTATTTGATTTCGTCTAGGATTGTGTGGGGGTGTTTTATTAATTTGTTCAGTTCTGTAAATTTGGTCCCAGTTTAAGGCATAAATGTAAAGCTTGTGGAAGGTCAGTTGGTTCTCTTGTTCCCAAAAGTCGGTAAGTCACCTCTAGTCCTCTAATGAAAGTATCTAAAGCTTGTTACGATACGTTTCTGTCATAAGTTGCATGGCTTCCGGCCTATTTTCATGCAACCTATTTTGTTAAGAATGAGGTTAAATGTGCGTACACTTCCTGATAAAATTGTTCGATTGTGTGACTGCCTTGGGTGAGTATTGACATTTGATATTCTAAGGTTCCTAATCACGTTTATCCGCGTAATGTGTCTCTAAGCAAATTGAAATGGCTTCCCAATTCAGGAGTGTTGTAGACTCTAATGCAGTGTCTGCGTGACCACTATTTATTTCTAATTACGTTCATATTGCAAATATTGGGGTGCCTTTAGTGGCATCGAACAATTTTATGATGCGATCTACGCTTTTTCCACGAGGCGAATTCTTCGGGTCTCCAGAAAATTCTCTTAAGCATCTAACTACATCTGGACCTTGTCTAAGTCTCCTAGATTAGCTCTATGCGCTTCGTCTATTTCCTGGTCTCTAAAATGTTTGCCTGGATTTACTAAATTTGGGACTATGGTCTGACATTCTGCTAAACAAATTCTGCGTACTGCTTGACTTATTGCTATTTCCATGTCTGGTTTAACTGGTTGCATTTGGAGCTGGTGGCTGATTTACATTTTGGATAACTGTGGCTTACAGGTTATTTGGATTCATTTTGCTTATTTTATTTTATTTATTTACTACTATTATTTTTATTAATTTCGTGGTGTGAAATATTAGTTAATTAGTTTTATTAAAATTGGAAAAATTTTGAATTTTATTCTAAATTTTCCTAAGTTTATTGTTGTAACCTAAGCAAAGTAAAAGAATTATCTTATTTAAAATGATACGCTTACAGTAATAATATGGACTTCATTTTGTTCTGATTTTCCCGAACTCTGCTGCTGCTCTTTTCTGTCACTGTTGAATAGTGCTGAACGTCGTTGCCGCTTCTGGATGTGGTTACCGTTGTTGTTGTGAATAAAGCTGAACTTTGATGTTTCTTCTCGGGTTACGGCACTGTTATTGTATTTTGTGCTGCTATTTGTTTGTTTGTTGCGTGTTTTAAACGTTTTGAATGTTTAATATTTATTTATTTTATTTATTAGAAAATTTCACCAGTGTGTAAGTTTTTGACTTGTTTTGTAAATGTTTTTAGGTTGATATATTTCATTTGTATTTGCTGCTTTCTTAAATCGAAGTATTTCACTTAAGTTTTAATTAAATTTAATTTGCTGCTTTTCTTGAATCGAAGTATTTTACTTAAATTTGATTTGCTGCTTTTCTTAAATCGAAGTATTTCGCTTAAATTTAATTAAATTAAGTCCGGTAGATATCGACGCTTCTCCCTCTTTTGCCTAGCCGGTGACTCGAGGGCCTTCGATACGCAGAAAAATTGATTTTCCGATCCGGTTTGCTCTATCAACGATCGAGCACAAAGTACTTACGCGTACACGATTTCAAAAATTTTACTGTTTCCGTAAACCCTTTTAACGTTGGGCGCCAATACATAAAAGTTATTTT